TTTGAGTCAATTTCTAGGATTAAAGACTCCTGATCTTTCGTCAAAAATTTCATAATTCCGCTCAAAACGATCCGATTTTTTATCTGCGTGACGCCTTACAAATAAACAAACAAAAAAGAAAAAGCGGCTGCTCCAACGTACGCTCAAACTGAAAAGAAATTGGGGATGGACAATGACAGGCGCAGTCCAGTTTCATCGTGTGATTTGGCGCCACCTGGTGGTGAGTAGTAGCACTGCAGATGATACTCACCACAAATTGTAATTTCAGTGGCTTTTTCACAGCTGATGTATTTAAAACCCGAATGCAATTCAAAAATAATAATAATGTGACTTCGGAGATTGTTACATTTTAGTTGTATTTATTTTTCCTTTTTTTTTTTAAACCATTGTTGACTACGTATTGCTTTGCCGTCAGACACTTGCGAATTTTAAGATGTTGCCGAAATCATTGCCTGTATGTAGTACAATTTTACAACAGTGACAATTTGGTCCATTTTGTGGGCAAATTAGTTCTAAATCTGAACAAAATGGCATCCCGCGTTCCACCACGTGTTAGCCTCCACCGTTTGTTCTTCATTAACACAAGCCATAAACATACGTTGTCAAAACGTTGTCACGGTTCAACATTCGCCTGTTAACCAAACTCACCTATTCGCTGTTATTACTCATATCTGTAGCGAGTAATAAAATATTCACGTATTTTCACCACTCGCGGCAAGTTCCACTGTAGCCCAAGACGAAGCAAAAACAGAGTTCAGGTATGAAATAGCAAATCTTTGTTTCCAACCAACATGAATACTCAGTGGCTTTTTCACAGCTGATGTATTTAAAACCCGAATGCAATTCAAAAATAATAATAATGTGACTTCGGAGATTGTTACATTTTAGTTGTATTTATTTTTCCTTTTTTTTTTTAAACCATTGTTGACTACGTATTGCTTTGCCGTCAGACACTTGCGAATTTTAAGATGTTGCCGAAATCATTGCCTGTATGTAGTACAATTTTACAACAGTGACAATTTGGTCCATTTTGTGGGCAAATTAGTTCTAAATCTGAACAAAATGGCATCCCGCGTTCCACCACGTGTTAGCCTCCACCGTTTGTTCTTCATTAACACAAGCCATAAACATACGTTGTCAAAACGTAGTCACAGTTCAACATTCGCCTGTTAAACAAACTCACCTATTCGCTGTTAGTACTCAAATCTGTAGCGAGTAATAAAATATAAAAATATTGGTTTGGCGCTACCTTATGGTGTCTATAGGCAAATGCAAACCTTTTAGGGTGCGCATCAATTGCTCACGTATTTTCGCCGCTCGCGGCAAGTTCCACTGTAGCACAAGACGAAGCAAAAACAGGGTTCAGGTATGAAATAGCAAAGCTTTGTTTCCAACCAACATGAATATGCTGCGATGGTTGCGTTTTGTTCAGATGTACATGCCTGGGCTGCTCCCGCTGTAAGACGACGGATCAATTCTGGATGATTTATATGGAATGAAAACGGGCGTTTGAGGTGCGGGGTGGAAGCTGGATTGATAGGACATGCTGGGGTTGTACGTGAGTGTGTATGGTGTGCTGTTGTGGCTCAAGTATAAGGAGTTGACCGGCGTGTAGATGCTCCCCAGTGGGTTTGAGTGCCTCAGGGACGAATGTTGGGCCGCGCTGCCTTGATACGAGCGGAAGGTGCTTTCGGTCGGGTTGAGCACGACGGCGTCTCTCTGATTGATGAGATATTGACTGTTTGGGCCTTGCTGGACGGGGTAGGGTGTGAGGCTGGAGAGACTCTGGATAGGCTGGTAGTCCATCACAACGGGCTTCCTCAGCGCAGCGGGGTGGTACACGTCCGAGGACCTTTTGTCCGACATCCGCAGACCGCAGAGGAACAACAAGCCGGAGCCAAAGAGAAAGGCGCCGGTCACCCAACCGATGTAAAGCGCGTCTCCCAGCTCCCTCCTCTGGGCGTCGATCAGCAAAGGGTTGTAGAAGTCCCGGATGATGACGTGTCCCGTCCACGACACGGGGATGAAGACGCAGACGGAAGCCAGGAGCTGCATGCCGCCGGCGACCGACAAGATGGCCGCCTTGACTCTGTCGTTACCGCGGAAGCAGGAAGTGCAGCGCAGTCCCAACGTAGCCAACAGGAGCCCCAGTCCCGACAAGGCCAGGGAGCAGCACATGAGGCCCCTGGCGGCCTGGAGCTCGGCGGGCAAGAACAGGAGGGAGTCGTACACCTTACACTGCATCCTGATGTTGGCTTGCCTGTAGCAGTTCATCCACAAGCCCTCCCAGCGGCTTTCCATCACCACGATGTTCTCCCCGATGAAGGCCGTCACCTTCCACATGGGCATCCCGGTGGTGGCGGCCGCCCCGATCAGCCCCACCAGGCCTACGCACACGGCGGCGAGCTCGCAGATTCCTTTGACCATCGTGTTCCGCAGCCCGGCTACGTTTGGATCCCAAACAAGGAACTAAATGCTCAAGGCCATCCCCCCCCACGCCCCCACACCCCAAGTCCCAGTGTAAGGCAGCCTGTCAGCGACGTGCCTGAGGCTCAGCTGATGCGTTTGTGTACAGTCACATGAAGCTTGTTGTGGGAAAACGGCTTCACGGGCACCTGGTTGGCTGAGACGCATGAGGGTACCACGCTGCTTGTTTTGGGTTTGCTACTCCTCTGGCTGTATGCTGCTACGTCTACCGCAGCAACCTCACTCTTTATGAACGACCACGACGCTGCACTTAGAGACTGAACAAAAAATATTCTATTGATCATCAGAGTGCGACTGCCTTCGTACTGGTCTCAGCCACATAGTAAAAAAAAAAAAAAAGTCAGCGCCAAGCTAGCAAAAATAAGTTGAAAACAAACGTCTTTGAAGAGCTACTAAACGAGAATAGGGCCAAATGGTTTCCAGAGTAACAATCGCTCAGACATAACCTGGAGTGGAGTTCCCCTGGGAAACGTTTGAAGTCCACTAATTTTATATATGAAAGTTGAACCAAAACTCCTCTTGGGTGAACTCTTGCCAGAATATAAGACAAAAGTCCAAAGTGCTCAGCGCATTAAACACAACCAGTAGATTGATAATTGAGCTATAGTTTTATTTCACATTACAAACTAAACATATTAAAAAACAAACAAACGTTTTTTTAAGATGTTTCAGTTCACCTACACGTCCACTTCCTTGATGAATTTGAATGACCCGCATATAATCCAGCAGTTTTGCTCTTGGACTCGGTGACAATGCAAAACAGTTGACCCCCCCCTCCCCTCCTTTCCCCCCCATTGTGGACTCTTTGTATCTTCATTCCAAGCCATTTGCAAATTGCGGTCACGTGACCCTGCTTATCGGGCTACCGGCGCTCTCTTGGCAAACTCAAAACCGTCCACGCCTTAAACAAGCAGTCGCTCTTGTCACGCCAACTTGCGGAATAGGCCGCTGATTTGGTCGGACTTGCGGTAAACACTCCGACAAAAAAAATAGATGTACAATATAACACGAGTTGGACGTATAACTGTTATCTATGACATGTGAGCCAATGGAACCACTTATGTCTTTATTTTAGAACAAGGTGTGTTTATGCATGTACAGCAGGTAGTGAAATTCACACGCGATGAAATGATGTCAAAAGGTGAAGGAAAAGTCCTCGGAGAGAGAGCAGCGACCAGAAACACTTCTCAGGCGCAGTCTTTGTGTTGTCTGCCATTGGAATGCGTACAGGTAGATGTTGTTTTGAGTGTATAGAAGCTCGGCAAGGGTGTTAGACTCATTTTCCGCATGGGCCAGATTGAAGGCATATTAGTATGTGAAAACAATTGCCCCTGCTTTGATCGTAGTTTTATGTTTTTGCTCACAACAAATTAGTATTGTCCAGTTTTTGTTAAGAAAACCAATTCAAGTGTGTTTGGGTACGCAAATGTTCAGCCACGGTGAAAACAACGAATCCATTCTCCCACAAATACGAAGTAGACACGCTTTATTTGCCTTTATGGGCCGCATAAAATGACAGGCTGGGCATGATCTGGCCCCTGAGCCTTGAGTTTGACACCCGGGAAGTAATCATTTAAAAATGAACGACACATAAAATACTCTCCTATTGAAAAAAAAAATAAAACGAATGTGATAATCTACTCACTGAAATGCGTTCCTCGACATGAAATGTACGACACGGTTGCTTCAGTTAGCGTTCAGAGATACGCCACCCCGCTGCGTACAGACGGGTACCTGGACGGTTGGCTGGACTGGTAGCTGTAGATGGTGGAGGGGTGTCTAGACAGGACGGGCTGGGCCCGGGCGGAGGGGTGTCTGGACAGGACGGGTTGGGCCTGGGCGGAGGGGTGTCTGGACAGGACGGGCTGAGCCTGGGCCTGAGGGAGCAGCACCAGTTGCTGAGGCTGCAGAGGCCGGACGGGCTGCGGAGGGTACGCCATGTAGTCCGAGTTCCCGGAGTAGACGTAGCCCCTCGCGCTTTTGCCTTCCGACCGCACGTTGCAGCAGGTGAACACGCATCCTCCGGCGAATAGGAAGGCGCCGGCCCACCAGCCGACT